CCTCCTCCTCCTCCTCCTCCTCCTCCTCCTCCTCCTCCTCCTCCTCCTCCTCCTCCTCCCCCCCTGCGGGTCCTCCTCTTGTTCCTCCTCCCCGTCGTCGCTCCCCTCTGCCACGGGAGCTCCAGCTGCTGCTGCCGGTCTTGCCGCCGCTGCGTCTGCAGCTGCACCGCTGCTGCTGCTGCTGGGCTCGCTGCTGTTGGTACTGCCCATGCACCTGGGTCTGGTACTCCCCCTCCCCTTCTCGCTCCTCGGCTCCTCGCTCTCTTGCTCGTTTCTGCCCCTTGCCTGGCCCGCGTTTCTTTGTCGGCCTGTCCCGGTGTCCGAAAAAGAGCCGCGGCGCCCCGCACTGCCACGCAGGCGAAGAGCCCGGCGTGGGAAGTTTTGCCCCCCCTTCCGCCCAATGTCGAAGCTCTGCTGTTGCTGCTGGGTTCGCTGCTGTCGGCACTCCAGAGTTCGTAATAAAAGGGAGGGGGTCTGGACCCTCCCAGACGAGCCATTTCAGACCCCCCCCCGTGGGAGAAATCTCCAAAACATCGTCCCCAGACCCCCCCAGGCCCTCCAAGATAGCCTGGAAGAGACCCCCCCCGAAATGAGACCCCCTCCCTTTTAATACGAAATCTGGAGTACTGCCCATGCACCTGGGTCTGTTGCTGCTGATACTGCAAGCGCTGCTCTCGACACAGTCCAGATCATCAACCAAACAGCTCACCTTCAGGCAGCGAGCAGCAGCAAGGCAAGCGCACTCTGGCCACCGGCACTCGTGGGCGGTAGTCCACGGGTCAGCCCTAGTCAGCTACAGTGTTGGGATCCGCGCATGCCTGAAGGGCGAGCAATGGCAGCAGGCCCTGGCGCTACTGAGCGAAGCGAAGCTGGAGCCCGACGTCATCAGCCACTGTGCTCTCATCAGCGCGTGCGATAAGGGCGGGCAGTGGCATCAGACTTCAGCTCTGCTCTGCGAGATGCAGGTGAACTGGAGCCCAACGTTACCTACAGTCGGCCCGGATTAGTATGTCGGCCCTGCCAGCTCAAGGGTACCGTTGTGTCCAGTGCCTCGCGACACGTGCCTTCTTACACTCCTATGGCGATGTGGCCCTCGGAAGGGTCTTGTGTCCTCTCGCATGTCCTGTCCAATCAAGGCCGGCTGTATACGACAGTACCGGGCATTCTGCGTGAGACTTGTCCATTGGTGTTTCCCGCAGAGCGGTGCCTCCGCGGATCCGCCCGAGGGGCGACGCCGTCCTCGCCCCAAGAGAGCTCCACGACGTACCAAGGCAGGCGGCAGACCGCCCAAGAGGGCTCCCAGGCGGCCCAAGATGGCCTCCCGACGGTCCACGATGACCCCAGCTTGCCCCAAGACGGCTCAAATGGGGCATCGGGGTCTTCCCGTGCCAGACGGCCCTAAGATGGCCGCCTCCAACACGGTCAAGATTGTCTCCAACACGCGCGCCCCACAGATGGCGTCAAGATCGCCCTAGACGGCCCAAGAGGCTTCTAAGAGGACCTCCAGGAAGGCGCGAGGAGTCCGACATTCTGCTGCGCCTGAGGTTTTTGAAGGATTCTGGCGTCTGCTCATTTTCGACATTCTGACGGGGCCCCCAAAGCGCCCAAGAGGCTTCCGAGATGCTCCCTAAGACGGCCCAAGAGGCCCTTAAGATGGCCCCAAGAGGGCCCAAAGATGGCCAAGACGCCCAAGATGGCCTCCAGGACGCCCAAGATGGCCTCCAGGACGCACGGGGCCCCACGAAGGGCCCCAGTTGCCTTCGAAAACTGCCCCGAAGCGGGGTGCGGCCGCACCTCGCACTGCGGCCCTCCTGCAGCTATCCGGGGGGTCGTCCCGGCACCGTGCGCAAGCCCTTGCCGACGCCCCGCGGCTGTCTCCGAGGAGCTTTCCACAACTACGCCGAGGCGAGGTACGGTCGCATCGCACTTCGTCGCCTTCGTTGGGCTTCCTGTTGTCGTCCCGCGGCGATCTGGACGCCCTTCACGACCCCCCCCCCCTGAGGCGTCCAACCACGAGGCTCCCAGGAGGCTTCCCAGAGACCTCCAAGAGACCCACGAGGAGCCGCCAGGAGTGCCACGAGGCCTCCTGCACGTCCTCCTTCGCTGCATCCTCTGCTCGCTTTTCTCATGTTTCGAAGGTGGATCGACCTCCTACCCTGACACGTCGATTCAGGAATTCGCCGTTTTCGGTTCACGAGAGGGCGTCGCGGCCGTCATTTTCGCGGGTCCAGGTCCGTCGGCTTCGGTCCCAGGCCGTTTCCACTATGGGGAGGTTTACCAAAGGGAGGTTTGTCCGCCGCCGAATGTTCACCCGAGGGGCCAGCCACAAGACCGCCCGAGACCACCCCCAGATGCCCAGTGCTCCTCCGCGCTCTCTTCCAGCGCCGGCGGTGCAGCTGACAGCCCACAGCCTGGCGCCGCCGATACAGATCCGCAAGGCGTCCCCGCCGCCCCACGAGTGCGTGCTTGTTAGCTACAACGCTGGAATCACAGCGTGTGAGAAGAGCGAGAATCGAAGAAGAAGAACCGCCATAAACAGAAAGTTTTGGCGCTCTGCGCGGATTTCTTGGATCCGCGCTGGGGCCCCCCCTGGCGGCGCCTCCGGCGCCGCCCCTGGCGCGCTCCGCGCGCCAGGGAGGGGGGTCCAGCGCGGATCGACGAAACCCGTGGGGAGCGCCAAGAGTTTATGTTCATGGCGTTTTCTCTTCTTCTAGAGAAGTGGCAGCGGGCTCTTGCGCTGCTGAGCGAGTTGCGGGGCGCGAAGCTGCAGCCCAGCGTCGTGTGTACTACAAGTTTTAGGCCTTGCGCGTGCGAGCAGGGTAAGCAGTGAACAAAAAGCGACCCGGACCAGCCCGGAGCGCCCTCGGGGCACCTGCAGTGCCCCCCAAGAAGGCTCCAGGAGCTGCACAAAAGAGCCCACGCAGGGCTCCCAGGCGACTCCAGCCCCCTACCCTGGCTCCAAGATGACCCGACTAGACCGACGGCCCCACGAGTCGAAAAACCAAGCAACACACATGTTCCATGGTTTTCGATGCCCTTCCCATGACGAGCCCAGAACGGCCCCACACGGCTCATGGTCCTGCCACGACCGCGCCAAGATGACAACCCACGAGGCCCTCACGAGCCCACCAAGACGGCCCATGAGAGCCCCAAGACGGCCCCTGAGCAGGCCTCGGAGAGCTTCATGATATAATATAACCTCAAGTGGCCCCCCAAGAGGGCCCCAGGAGCTGCGCTAGAGGGCCCAGGCCGGACTCCCAGGCGGCCCAAGACCCCCACCCTGGCCCTAGGACGGTCCAAACGGTCGCCGGGGGCTCACGAGGACCCCGATGACGGCCCCACGAGGCCCAGCATCAAGCAAAGCAGCTTTTGTGTGTTTGAATGTTCCCGCACATCCTCCCACTGACAGGCCCAGAACGGCACCACGCGGCTTCAGGCACGTCTACGATCGCCCCAAGGTGGCCCGAGAGGCCTCGACCGGCGCACCAGGACGGCCCAAGAGCCCGCCCCCCAAGACCGGCCTCGGACGGCTTGATCGAGCTGCAGGTGGACCCCCACCGACGCCCCAGGAGCCGCCCAAGAGGGCCCCCACCCAGCTCCAACACGGCCCCAGAACCCCACCAGTGCTCCACGGTGGTGATGGAGGCCTTTGGCATGGCCCGAGAGGGCCCACTGTGGCCCAAGGTCGCTGCACAATGGCCCAATGGGGGCTTCGCGATCGTTTCAGGATAAGGGACGGCCCACGAGGGCATCCCATCACGTCTCGAGTCCCCTCCCGCCGTTGAGGGGTGACGAGGGGGACCTGCTCCTGTCTTCTCTGCCAGGGCTTCCTCCTTTCTTGGAGCCTGCACCCCCTCTCCGGTACCGCTCCCTTCCTCCTCCTCTTCCACCCCCTCCTCCTCCTCCTCCTCCTCCTCCTCCTCCTCCTCCTCCTACTTCTCCTCCTCCTCATCCTCCTTCTGCGCCTCCTCCTCCTCCTCCTCCTCTTCCTCCTTTCCCTCCTCCTCCTCCTGCAAGAATATGCAGCGAGCCTGGACTACGGGATTCCCGCAGTCGTCGATTCCACGAGAACCCTCCAGGGACCACTCCGAGATAGCTCAGACCCTCCCAAGACTCTCTGAGATAGCCTCCAGCCCCAGAGCCTGGAGCCTGCAGCAAACCCCAGAGCGTCGACTATTGAGCTACAGCGCTGGGACATGCGCGTGCGAGAAGGACGACCAGTGGCATCGGGTCCTGGCGCTGCTGAGCGAGATGTGCATAAGCTGGAGCTGGGCCCGTCTGCATCCCCAAGGGTGTAATACTGATTCGGCCAGTGGGGCCGCAGGGATAATTATGGCAATGCCAGGCCGACCCTCATGGTACTATCTGCGCAAGTTTGCGAATGAGTACTTTGAAGCCGCATGGTATGAAGCGAGTTTGGCGAGTGGCATTCTTGGGCACGACGAGGACTTCGTGCGCTTCCCACTGGGGCTCCAGCAGTAATTTTCGAGGTTCATCTCAGTCGCGCCCGACAGTGGGCCGAGTGATGACTCGATCGGACTGCCTGCCAGGCCGACCCGACTTCACATGCATTATGTTTCGATGGCCTTCGGTCGGCGTCACCCCAACATACTAATACTATATGTGCGTCGCCCCCTCAGGGGCGACGCGCGCACCGAGAAATCTTGTAGTATGTGCGTCGCGGCGGGCGCTTTCTGGCCACGCCGCTCTGGAAACGATCTACTACGAGGTGGGTGTACGATGTGTTCGGATCGGACGCGCGCCTCCAAGGCGGACATACAGCATTAGTATGCCTCCTCCTCCCCTTCTTCTCCTCCTCCTCCTCCTCCTCCTCCTCCTCCTCCTCCTCCTCCTGCTCCTCCTCCCCCCCCCCTCCCCTCCTCCTCCTCCTCCCCCTCCCCCTCCCCCCCTCCCCTCCTCCTCCCCTCTCCTCCTCCTCCTCCTCCTCCTCCTCCTCCTCCTCCTCCTCCTCCTCCTCCTCCTCCTCTCCGATTCGGCTCTCCCCTCCCCCCTCCTTCTCCGTGTTCCTGCTTCTTTCCCCCCCGCCCCTCCGGTCCTCCGCTCGCGGCGAGGCCCTCCTCGGGCGGACGACCGGGGGGCAGCATCGCCCCCCACAGCGATCCAGAACGCTCACGGAGAGCTCCGAGGCGCTCTGGAACGGCCGCGGCGCCGGACACATCATCCAGACCCGCCGCACCTCATAGATCCCAGAGTTGTCCCCGGTCCGAGTTTGTCCCAGTCCTGGCTTCGTTTTACAATCGGGGCCCTGAAGAAGGAACCCTTTTCGTCGGGGAGGGGCTCCGCGTTCCTTAGGTGTTTCGCAGCTTGCCTTGGATTTTCCTTATGTCTTCGATAGGACATCGAAGTTTAGCTTATGGAAAAAGGGGCCTCGTTCCTTATTTAGAGGGTTCCTTAGGTCAACGCCCCGACTGTAGATCCCAGAGTTGTCCCCGGTCCGAGTTTGTCCCAGTCCCGGCTTCGTCTTGCGGCGATGTGCAACAGATGGGGGACCATCGGATACGGAGCCCAGGGTCTGACAGCGAGTGGGAGCGCCAACCGAGGGGGCTGGCTATGGCCACCATTCCCGCCCACATCAGGTAATTCGGGAGGGGCAAAAAAACACACAGACACAATGAATCGTCGATTCCCCTAAAATCTATGGGAACATATGGGAAGTGTGGAGGGGGGAGACAAAAAAACAGAAAGTATTGGAAAATATGGGGAATAGTTTTATTTGTGTGTGTGTTTCTTTGTGTGTCCCAGGGCCCCTTCAGTAATGAATCTTTCAGGGCTTGAGGCCTCCTGGGCGCATGCCTCAACGAGTGCACCCGCCGTGTTTTTGCTTCTGGTGGCACCCGGCGCCCTTTCTTTTGTGAACCGTCTAGATTGTAGTGGCATTCGGCCAGTGCCGCCAATCCAGAGCGCTCCTGATGCTATTGTTGTTGAAATGGACGAAGACGACGACAACGGACGACCAACGGTCCACGAGCGGGATAATTACGACGACGACCGACGAAGGAGTTAATGACGACGAACGACGACGACGACGACGACGACGACGACGACGACGACGACGACGACGACGACGACGACGACGACGACGACGACTGACGGCGAACGGCTGCCGACGGCCGACGACCGACGACTGGTGACGGCGACGGGTGGAAGGTTCTTCGTTCATCGCATTCGCTTCCGAGCAATACCAAGTCAGGCCGTGCACCTCTGGCCTGGCAGCACGCGAGTGAGCGCCTCTTGGGGCCTCTTGGTTCTTGGGGCTTCTTGGGGGCCTTTGGGGCCTCTTGGGGGCCTCTCGGGGTCCTCTTGGGGGCCTCTTGGGGACCTCTTGGGGGCCTCTGGGGGCCCCTTGGGGGCGCCTCGGGGGCATCTTGGGGGCTCTTGGGGTCATCTTGGGGTGGAGGACTAGATGGGTCCGTTCGGGTTCACCCTCTTGAGGCCATCTTGGGGGCCTCTCGGGGTCGTCTTGGGGGGCCTCCAGAGCTATATTGGGGCCCTCTTGGACCGTCTTGGCTCCTCTTGGGGGCCTCTTGGGCTGTCTTGGGGCGATCTTGGGGGCCTCTTGGACCGTCTTCGGCGCTTCTAAGACGGAAAAGGCGATAACGTTAAAATGCTTCAACTACCTCTTGGGGCCCTCTTGGGGGTCCTCTTGGGATCTCCTTGAGGCGTCTTGGAGGCCTCTTGGGCCGTCTTCAGGCCATCTTGGGCGTCCAGGAGCGCTCTTGGGCCGTTTCGGGCGCCTCCTCGACCGTCTTGGTGGCCTCCTGGGCCCCTTTTTGGCCCGTATTGGGGCGGTTTGGGATTCCCGGGGGGGGGGGGAGAGAAAGGGTGGACCCGATGAACCTCCCCCCCCCCTCCCCCCCCTACCCCGGCAGAGCCACCCCGGCCTCCCCCCAGCAGAGCTGAAGCTCAGGTTGTAGCTTTCTTAAACTCACACGCCGGATCGGCGGATTTAGGTCGGGCCTGTCACCCTACAGGGGGATTTTCGCCGAAAAATAAATTCAAGAAATACTCCAGAATTGTCAAAACATAGTATGGGTATTTTTGGGGTATGTTTTTAAAATTGTTCTTCGAAAATACCCCTGTAGAGGGACACGCCCGACTTAAGTCTAGATAGGAACCGGCCCTTCTGGATCCCGACGACCCCCTGCGCAAGGCTCCTGCCGTGTGCCGGGAGCAGGCCTTCGGATCCCAGGGGCCGTCTCGCGGGCCAGGGCTCGACAACAGCGCGATCTTGGACAAGAGGGTCAGAATCTTCCACGGCCAGCAATGGAGCTTTGCGGGGAGGGGGGAGGGGGGGGTGTGAGAGACGTTCGTGGAGCAGCGAGAGGAAGGACGGCTCGCGAGGAGCAAGCAGGGAAAGGTTGCGGTCGGTGCGGAGGACAGGCAGGAGGAGGAGGAGGAGGACGAGGAGGAGGAGCCTGAGCAGGAGGAGGAGGAGGAGGAGGAGGAGGTGGAGGAGGACCAGTGCAAACCCAAGAGTCA